TTGTTTTTATTTAAAAGTATCATTGCAGATACAATTGATACCGTTAAACGTTTGTTGTCGTTTCGTTCGGCGTCCATTTAATTTCTCAGCTGCCAAGCCCACTGTAGCGTAGCGCATAAGTCGCTCGGGAAATCGTTCCAAAATTCTCAAGCGCTCATGCGCTTTATGCGTGCATTAAAAAAACGGAACGATTTCGAAGCGTTGCGCATCAGTATTGCAGTCTACGCGCTTCATGCGTAATTCGGAACGCACCCTATGAATACCGGCCATAGAGCTCGTCTTCCCCACTCTCTCGACTGGCTTTTCCCACTCTCTTGACTGGTTGCGCAAGCATGACACTCTTGACTACGGCCGCGCTACTGCCACCTACATAGGCCGCGTCCTTTCATTCGATTTTAGGATATACCCAATAAACAAAAAGTCCTCTTAATGTGTTCTTTAAGATAACTTTTGAGAGATAAAAGATGTCTTTCAAGATTTCCGAAATGTGATCTTATAGTGCAACTAAAAGATGTCCAATGTCCATCTCAAAAGTGATCTTACAGACATCCTAATGAGCACTTTTCAGTTTTATAACTTCTCTTGAAAGTTATCTAAAAGTCAACATAAAGAGAATCAAGAAGAGACTTCTAGGTTGTCATTTTAAGGTTATGATTATTTTTTTAATTTTGTGAGAACATCGAATAAAACCGGAAAAAATGAAACAGAATTAGAATTACAAAATCGTAGAAAACAGAAATTTATTTATTCTGTTTTAAGCAATTTGTAAATCTGAATTCTGTTGCATCTTTTCCAGTTTTATTCAACTTCTTCTACTATAAAATAAAAAGTAATACAATTTTATAGAATTAAAATTTAATAAAATTTTAACATTTTTTTAAATTTTGTTACATTCGAAACTCTTTAATTACTCGCATTTATGCTTGCAATTATTACTAGTATCACATTGAAAATAAACTTATAGTATCACATATAGTATCACATTGAAAATAAACTGAATAATATCATGTGAACTAACATAAATTTTTAATTTTATTAATAAAATTATTAATTTTATTAATAAAATATTAATAAAATAAAAAAATAAACTAGATTATTCTTGGTGATTAAATAATTGTTCTTGCTGTCTCTGTTCATGCTCGTTCTGACGCTGTGCTTCGTCTTTTCGAGCTTGTTCTTGTTTAAGCTTTATGCGGTCACCATATTTTTGCAGCCACAGTTGTATCCGTTTTCTTACTACTTCATCAATAGTAGCATATTTTTTGGTGATGTAAACTAAGAATGAAATTTATAAAACATTATACATTTACATATAGAGGGTAGAGAAATTATCCTTTAAAACTAAAAAGATGAATAATTTACCACTCATTATTTTAGGAAAATTGAAATTTGAAAATTTAGTCTTGTTACGTTTTTTAATGATCCAAGTACATTTGCCTGCCAACTCATCGGTCATGATTACCGACAAAATTCTTTTGATCGTTTTATCACAAGTATTTCCTCCAACAGCAACCATTTTTGCTTCCTGAAACATAACACATTGTTTAAATTTGTAAACAGAATTAGAACATACAAAATAGTTCCATTACTTAAAAAAATAATTTATTACAAATTGTGATCTCATCTGATGGTGGAGAGGATCTAGCAACTTTTGGTCGAATAAAAGCAATTGTTCAATTTCATTTATCGGTAACATTTGAAGTTGATCAAATGTTTGTTCATTTTGTGGATTGTTTTCATTATTTTGTTGTGGCCCATTTTTCATTATTAACAGATTATCCATTTTTTTTAAGCAGCATTAAGAGTATTTTTCGACAAGAAACTGTAATAAAAAAAAATTAATTAGTTACATGAGTCTAATTGACTTATATGTGTTCAGTGGGAGAAATTACAAATAACAACTCTATGATCTCCTTAAACAATCTGTAGCTTTGTCAATAACATGTCATTTTATTAAAAAATGTAATTACAATTTAAGAAAAATTAAATAATTTTGAATTGTATATGTATATTATACAAATATACTGTGAAAATGTATGTTATACAAATTTAGTTCATAGAAAAAAATTATAAATTTCTATTAATAAATATATAAAACAAAATTTATATAAGATGAAAAATTTACAGAGTTAGTAAAATTTACTTACGACAACAATTATTTATATTGTGAGTCTGTTGCTCTAAATTCAGCAAAATATGAGCTTCATTTTCGTGATTATGAGGAGCACAAAACTCTTCATTTTCATTATTCATATAAATGTCATTTTCATTATTGTCATTGTCATTACGTTCATATTCACCATCAACATTTTCATCTATACAACCAGATGCATTATTTGTTTCAATATCCATACCGTGTCCATCATCGCTTTGTAAAGAAATATCCTCCGCAATAGAGAGTTCCTCTTTTGGTGCATGAAGTACAATACCGATAAAAAAATATTGTGAATAAATCTCATAAAAATAAATTCTGTCATTACGAAATTGAGATATGCCTTTTACCTGTTTCATTGGTCGATACTGTATTATTCAGCACTTGCTGCTGGCCATCAATAATTGGAATCTGTTGTAAATTGAAGTGTTGACTATTAAGAATTATAGTGCTACAGTTTTCTTTTTGGAAATCTTTAACCAAAAAGCCAGATGGTAATTGTTGTGCACTGAAAGCTGTTTTAAAAAATACAATTAGATTAAAGAGATACACATAGACACATCTACACATAGACTTTTCATTACTATTCACCTTTAATTTGATATATTTTTTAAAAGTTTTTATCAAAAATTTTAGATATCATGATATTTAACATTTATCACAATCTTCGTGCAGTACTAGAGAGTAATCTTGATTGTTATTATGTAAATATTACTTTAAAATAAATAGACAAAAGTCATAATTTATTACTTCAATACTAGATTATCATTTTGAAAACGAAGATCTTTTGATACAATAAAAATATACAAATAAATTTAAATAACATTCTACAGGTTTATAGGTACTAAAGTAATTATACACATTTAACCAAATTTAAAAATGCATTGAATTACTGGGTCTGCTCAATTATTCGTATCCAACCACTAGGCCTATCACCTTATATAAAAATGTTTATATCAACATGATAGATTAATAGATTATTTGGAATACAAATCAAAGATGAAAACATTGATATCTTTAAAATTTTAAGATGTGTACCATAATCCTTATTGTTGAAAATTGTATGCGTTATCTGGCAACAACCGTCCATATTCTAAATCCTTTTTTATTAATAAAAATGCCACTAAAATTGATTCTAAAGGATTCTTATTAGCTGAAAAGATCTTTTCAGGCATTTTTATATATAAAAGATGATTTTTGTTTTTGTTTTATGTACCTGTTCCTTGAATTTTTTGATTCACATGTAAATCTGGGATATTAGTTTTATCATTCAACAATCTTCTCCTGTCGTTCAAAGAAGTACTTTTCGAGGAATAGTTTTAGACTACACTACTACTTGGTATGCTCTTTAACGAATAATTTGCTAACGCTTCTCTTGTGTCATCAATTTTCGACTCGTACCAGTTTTGATTGGAATCGGAGGGACATGAAGACCTGTTTCTGCAGGTCCTACTTTTCCATTATTACCAGGTTCTACAAGTAATCGTTAAATATTAATTTCCAATAATACATTTTTTAGGTTAGATTGCAATGTTATGCTACAATTACATTAGAATAAATATCGATAGTGGCTTATTAAATTAATTGAAACTTACTAGGTTTTTTGAGATGCTGTCTTACGTATGTATCTTGTACACCTTTTCTTTTTAACATTGTTACTAATTCGTCACCGTTGTCAGTCAAAGTCATAGGCTACGTCTTCTTTGTCTTATTCCTGGCACCCGACTCTACCGAACTCAAAGCCGATATGGCCACGTCGAAACGAAATAGTCGTTTCTGTATTATTTGGCTTCTACTCGTAATAATCGGCAGCAAGAAAATTAAGGCCGCACCCAAGCGACTTACTGCGTCGAGTTATACGCAAGTGAACAAAAATTTCTCAATTAGGTTAGGCAACAACGTCCACGCCGCTCGGCATTCCAAGCGGAACTCTTACAGTATCTGAAATACTTAACAGTGCATGAGTAGACAATTTACATTGTTTTTGTTTGTTAATTCACATGTGTT